TTGTAAAAGTCCTTTATGAAAACACCATAATTTAAGTGTGTAGTGATAGTCCAAATAAAATATTTCAATTTGAATGGACTTAGTCTATTAATTCAACCCATGAAATTAAAAAATCTTAAAATTCAATTTTCTGAAAACAAAAAATAAAAAACTAACAATAAAACTAAAACTACCAAAAATCAAACCTCCATAAAAACTCAAGTTCAAACTTATCATTATAATTTTTCAATCATGAACTTGAATACAAAAATTTAATTAATATTTATGTATTTTAAAAAATAAAAATAATTTTAAAAAATTTATTATTAATATTAAAAAATTTTAAAAAATCTCATTTTTTATTTTCACTTTAAACCCCAAAATGCCTCCGATAGCCCTTGGTTTAGGGATGTCATTTAGTCGAGACTCGAGAGACATATTATAGTGGATTGTTTTATGTTTACTCGAATATTGTAATGTAACTGTTTGACTCGGTGATAGGGAACATTGGACTGGTTGGTAAGCACTAAGTAGTGCAAGGCAGTTAGAAACCCGGTTCGAGCAATTGAAATCTTAATAGTGATCGTCTGAAAGAAACTAAAAAAGTCTAATGAAAAACAGACTGGTAATATTTGAGGGCATGATCGGATTACTGGACAAGGGGATGAGGGACGGGATTGGAATAAATTTTGAAAACCAGTTATATCTTCGAGTGTTCGAGATTTTTTCTCTTATCCAAGATATTTGTAATCCGGAAACAAATAGAATCCAAATCTCAAATAATACCATTTTAAAAGTTATGGTTGGACCAAGGGTCTAGGCCCACCCCGAATTTTTTTTAACAAAATTGGATTTATTGGGAGAATAAATATTTTAATTAATAGATTGAAATAAAAAAAGAATGTCATAAAGCCTCTTGGAGTCAACAATAAAAAAAAAAAAAAAGAAGAAGTTAGATAAAAAAAAAGGTCTGACCCAACTTTATTACCAAGTTTTCCCTAAAAGCACTAAAACAAACAAAACATCATTAACCAATAAAGCGTCGCATGTCGTAACCTTCAAGCTTTAGCATTGATATTACCAATTGTGATTTTGGTATCGATATTTTGATTATTTATACAAAGAAAGACACTTTCGATGATATTCATAATGAAGTTATCATGAAACACTTCTGAAATATGAAAACTTGCCGAGGCCTTTTGTAAATTACTATAATTAACCTCATTTTTTTTTAGAGGGTTATAATTAACCTATTTTTAGTTTTTTTTTTGTTTGTGTAGACATTATATACTTGTTTTTTGCCCAGTTATGTTTAATCTATATAATAAAGTGCAATACAATTTAAATTTCAAAAGACAAACAAAATGACTTTTGTTTTTCGCAGTTGAGATCGTTTTAAATTTTACTTTAAAGTTAATACGTTGATTAATATTAACTCTCCAAATTTAATAGGGAAAATAAGTCTCTAAAGATGTATTTTTGTTAATTTTTCAAAAAATGTTTCAAGAATTTATAACATCTCATAAATACTTTAAAAAAATTTAGTGATTGGAACAATACTATCACCACCCCCATCGCCCTACCACCATCACCACTCACCACCACAATCACCCTACCACCACAACTACCCCCACCACCACCACCAACATCCCTACTACCCCACCACCAGTACCACCACCACCACCATCACCACCGCCACCACCTCGCCATTGCTACCACCCCACCACCAGAGCCACCCCACTACCACCTCTGTCAGAACCACCACTACTATCATCGCCCCCACCACCACCATTCTCGCTAGCCAACCACCATCACCACCACCTCCACTATCAACACTACCACTACTACCGTCACCCCACCACCACCACTACCACTGTCGCCACCCTACTACATTGCCACTTTCTCACCATCAACCCTACCCCCACCTATCTACTACCACCACCCCCATAACCATCACCACTACCACCATCGTCGCTGCCACCCCACCATCACCATTGCCGCCACCCCACCACCACCACCACTATCACCACCATCGTCAACCCACCATCACCTCTGCCACAATTACAACCATCGCCGCCACCACCGATTGTTACCACCGACACCCACCATCATCGTTATCTCATTTTTATATTTATTACCACTACCACCATCATCCAACTACCATTATCGCTCACTGACAACACCCACTACCATTATCGCTCACTACCAGCACCCACCACCACCATCGTTGCTCATCACCAGCACCCACTACCACAACCCACCATCACCTATCGTCGCCCACCATTGTCGCCGGCCACTATCACCCACCCCACCACATCTACTACCACCAACCACCACCACCCGTCATTGCTCACTGTCGCTTCCACCCATTGTCACTCACTTCCATCCATCACCACTATTGCCCAAAAGCATCCGTCGTCGCCCACCACCACCGTCGTCACCCCACCACCACAAACCACCACCACTACCAACCACTATACCATCGCCCACCACAACCGTTGCCATCCACAGCTGCCACCACCACCATGATCGTCGTTACTCACCACAACCATCACCGTCTTTCACCATCATTGTTGCTTATCATCACTATCATCTCTCACCCCTTACAACCAGTGTTTAAATTCATTTCTCTCTCATCTATATTTGTAATTTGATTTTGGGTGTTTATTGTTGACAATTTTTTTTATTATTCTGTGATTTCAGGCACAGACAATAACTAGTTAATCTATAAGTATCAAATATGATGTAAAAAATAAAATATATCACATTATTTTTACCTATTATTAGAGGACAAAGTAAAACTTGTAGTTAAAGCATCTCCAACTATAACTCAAGTTTAAGTAAAAAGTTTGATTTGATATAGATTACTTTAATGGACAAACTTAAATATCTATTCAATCTTTTTAAAAAATTTCTTATTATTCTGAAAAAATTTTTTTTGTCATTCAAATCGTGAAATTTAATAAAATAAATGAAACTTTCTTTTATCTCCACAAATGGGTAATTCAAAAAAAAATTGAATATGGATACAACACCTCTTGGGAATAAAAAAAAAGCAAAAAAAAACAAAGAAAATCACCCTAGAATTCTCAAATTGTTTTAATCTTTTTTTTTTAAATCCAGAAAAAGAAAAAAAAAAAGAGTTACTTTGACTTGAATCTACTTTAAAGAACACAAAAAACAGATTGTTATCAACAAAAAAGGAAGATTGAAGAATAAAATGAAAAATTTCCTAAATTTGTGGATAGTGAAGGTTTAAAATTTCACAAAGAATCGGTCTAAAAGTGCACTATTGACGATGTTTAACTCAAAAAAGTCAAAGAAAAATTTGATGCTAGTCTTGGGGTTTATATTGTATGAAAAGATGAGTAAGAATAGGGTTTTGAAAAATACAAAAATCAAGAAGATGAAAGATGAAAATAAAGAAACTAACCTACAAGTCTTCAAAGGATCTGTGAAAGCTTGGTGGTGTTCGACAATGGAAGTAGCAAAGAAGAAAGAAACAAGAAGAGGCAGATAACAAGTCGTCGAAAAAGTCTTTTAGGTTTGAATAAGGTAAAAGTTACTGTTAAAAATTTGGTATAGAATTTGAGTCTCCTTCAATTTAGGTCAATAATATATAACTTTTTTTTTGTTTGTTTTTGATTTGCTATAAGTTTGAATTCAAGTTTAAAGAAATTTTTAGATCATTTAACCTCAAATTTAAATTAGAGTTAAAAGATTGATGATACTCTTAAAATATACCTAGCATAGAGCACAATCCTGGCTCCGTCATCGAGTAGCCCATTTCATTTCTTTAGAACTACCTACCAATTATGGGACAGGAGAAATTCCTATGTTTATCTAATATAATAAGTCCATTTATATGCGAATTGGATTGGACAGTCAAATCCAATCCAATCTAATGTGACCAAGTCCAACTGTTCCGAAATGCGCCCATATACATGTAAAATCACAAAAAATGCAACAACATGGCATTGATTTTAAGAATAAAATATTACTTACGATTAATGCTTATAAGAATTAGATGAAACACAAGTCAGGAGTTGTTAAGTGTATATTGATCCTTAATTTAGTTACTAGTTTGGGTGAAAATTTTCTCCGTTTGGCTCTCCTTGTCTTGTAAAACTCGAAATCAAGTGAGTGATTAGTACATAAAATCATACGTCACACATGTGAATGCGACATCCGAATATAAAATTAAATTTAGATTAAATTAAAAAAAATCAATTTAACTAAACCAGTTTTCCAACCGGATAGAAGTGATCATTATTGAGGATCATCATGTTGTAGAATGTGGACTAGTAATAAATAACTTGATTTGCAACATAATCGACTATATAGAATTTTAATATTACCCATTGATAGAACTTCGCCATGAATCCAAAACAATAAGAACTCCAAAATGAGACAAAATATATGACTTATTTTTATTTTTCTTATTCATTTGATTTTGGTATTATGTGAGTAGTTTCATAATCGAATGGTTTTTATGGAATACTCATGTCCGGCAAATTTTATTAAGAAAAAAATATTAATAGTACGTTTTTTGTTTATAATTTTTTACATTAAAATGAGATGAATACAATATCATACATTTTTTATTTATAATTTTTTACATTAATATGATATGAATACAATACAAATTTAATATGATATAACGTCAATATGAGATAATAAGGCTAAATTGACATCCTAACCATCCAGAACATGGCCAACATGGTGGGTCCATGTTCAGGAGAAATTAGCCGTGTTTGGTGTCTATAGACATAGTAACATCAAACTCAAGGACACCGTAACTTCTCGTCTATTTCCTTTGTGGAAGCTCTGCTAAACCGTGTAGGTAGAACGCAGTCACGTTTCAAACACCCTTTTTTTTCCTTTTTCCAAGCTCTTCAACTACGTCACTCCTATCAGACTTGACCATTCCAAACTCCATCACGCGTTCACATACAACTATATATACCCAGCTCTTTGATCATTGTGTTCATATCCAGTTAGCACCAATCAATTATAGCTTACACTCTAGGAGTTTTATATATTTATATTTGTGTATTTCCACTACAATTCTTCTCCGTAGATTTTTTTTTGCTTTGTCTTTCGTTTCGTCATATTCCTAAATTCTAATAACTTATCCCATGAGCAAATGCACTGATTATGAACACATATTCAATCGCTTTGACAAAGATGGAGATGGAAAAATTTCTCCGTTAGAGCTCCAACATTGTGTCAGGTCGATAGACAGTGAATTGTTGCTAGAAGAGGTGCAATTGGTGGTTGATTCACTGGGCTCAGACCAAGGTGGATTGTTGGGGTTCGATGGGTTCGTGAGTTTGATGGAGAGCAAGGATGAAGAAGAAAAAATGGAGGACTTGAGGAATGCCTTTGGCATGTATGAAATGGAGGGCTGTGAGTGTATAACACCAAAGAGCCTGAAGAGGATGCTTAGTAGATTGGGTGAATCAAGGAGTGTTGATGAATGTGTTGTCATGATTAATCAGTTTGATCTTAATGGGGATGGTGTCCTTAGCTTTGATGAGTTTGAGCTCATGATGCTTGATTGAGTCTTTGTACAAGATTGTATATGGTTGAAATTTCAATTTATTCATTTATTTTTCTCTTTATTGTAATCCAAAATAGATGAAGCCAACCATCAAATTGCTGTGTTTGTTATATATTGAAGCATTGAATAGAAGTCCAGTTAGATAATCTCTTTTTCTTTAACTATGATTTTATTTAGATTTAATTTTTTGAGTAAATTATTACAACTATTGAGATTCATTGTCAATATGTTGAGAATTACTAATTAAGTTAGCAAATAAATTTAACAAATTAAGCCAAACAAACATTGCTTTTTCTTTAAATATTAGTGATAAATGGGACTGAAAATTTGTTATATCGTATGCAAATTTATTATAGAGAACGCTATTATATGTTTACTTTCACTCAATAATACATTATCCACTATAAATTTAAGTGGGATATATTATTTATTAATTAGTTATTTCTCGTGCCTAAAAGCACAAAATAATAAAAAAAAATTAACAATAAACATAATTATATTCACACCAAAATTAAATCACAAACATAAAAGAGAGATGACAAAATTTAACTATCAATTATAGTAGGGTTATGCGGTGGTAGAGGTGGTGGTAGCTGTTACCCATTCAGCCATTGGCAGCATTTGACATCGGGTAGCCTCGCCCATTGGCACCCATACCTTAGCCAAAAATGACAGAAGTCTCATGCATGACTGAGGAAGGTAATCTATGCACATGGGCATGTGGACACAAGTCAGCATATAAGCAAGGAAGCGGGTGGCTTAAATAGTGGGGTAATGCTAGCTTGAATAATGAGCCATGGGCTGGGCCATGGTTAGGCACGAATGTAATGCAATTCGAATGTTGAGGGCTCCTGACACATGCACAACATATGAGGAAGTTGGGCATGTGTTTGCAGATGGTGGCAGTTCTGGGCAATTTTCTGGCAAGTGCACAGCATGTGGGATCTCTATCAAATTTGGACAAGAATGCAGACATCAGTTATAACTTTCTTATCATCCAATCACAACAGACCTTTGATAGCATTTGAATTACAGACATGTGCCTAGGCAGTTGGACTTGTAACTACCACCCTGAACATTATAAATAGGGTGTTTGGGGTCTGTAGTGCAAAAACAGAGTTGGCACGTTTTTGTAACAGACTCTAAGGCTGAGTTCCTTATACTTTATTGAGAAAGAAAGGTTTAGTTGTTGCATATAAATTCTGTGTGCCTTGCCTGTGTGTTTACTTACTATCCATTATTTGTTCTATGTGCATTCTGAGTGTTTAACTAAGACTAAGTGTTGGATCTTAGTGTCATCACGAGGCAAAAATTTGGTGAAAAATTTAACCCTGTGACAGTAGTGGTGGTGATGGGAAATGGTAATGGTTGTGTGTAGGTGGCGACGACCTTGGTAATAGTGGCAGCCCTGGGTGACAACGTGATGGTGGTGAATTTTGGGTAATGATGGTGGTAGTGGATGGTGGTGGTGGAGGCGACAGTGATGGTAGTTATCAGTGGTGGTGATTGTGGTGGGTGACAATAGCTGACGGTAATGGTGGACAACGACAAATGGTGATGGGTGTTGAAAGTGGGCGACATGGTAGTGGGATGATGGTGGTAGTGGTATAAGAATGAGATGACGATAGTGGTAGGTGGTGGCAGTGGATGACGGTAGTAGCAACCAGTGGTGGG